CTATGCGCATGTACGTGGTTGTCATTCTTGTTTTGGTCGCCATTGTTGTTGTGGTCGCCGGTGTTGTTGTGGTCGCCGGTGTTGTTGTAGTCTTCGTTGTTCGTTGTTGCTTGGTGTTCATGGTGTTGTTGGTGGTGGTGGTGGTAGGGGGTGAAAGAGGAGAGGAAAGGAGGAGGGATGGGGGGAGAGAAAGAGAGGAAAGAGAAGGGGCGGACGGAGGGGATGAGGAGAGAGAAAGAGAAGAAAGGAAAGGAGGAGGGTTAAGGAGAGAGAAAGAAGAGGAAAGAGAAGTGAGGAAAAAAAGTGGCGGATAGAAGAAGTTTAGGGTTAGATGTTAAATAAATATTTTTTTTCCTTTTTTTTCATAGTATATGTTCCGCCGGATTTTTCCGTTGGAAATGACCTTTTCCGACGGAATATTCCGTCGGAATGTCCAATTATTCCGACGGATTTATTTTCCGTTGGAAATTTTCGACGGATTTCCGACGAAAATTAAATCCGCCGGAAATATCGACGGACTCCATCGGAATTGGTCCGTCGTTATTTGACCTGATTCTTGTAGTGAGAAGAAGAAATTTGATGATGAAGGAAGAGAGTAAAAAATAATGGGGATGAGGAAGAAGGTGAAGGATGATGAAGGTGGTTGAAGGAAGAAGGTGGCTGGGAATTGGGATGATAGATAATTTAGATGGAAGAAGATTGATTTTGGTGGATTTAGTTAAGTTAATTAATGTTAGAGTTTAAGTTAATAAGATAAAATCAGGTTTTTAATTAGGGTGTTTAAAAAAAAGTAAGGGTAATTTTGTAAATTATACAAAAAAAAATTACTAAAAAAGGAAAGAAATCACTTTGCTGCGAGTAATGTGAAGCAGCCGTTTTAGGAAATTGTTGCGAGTAATGTGAAGCGGAGGTAGTAAGATATTTGTAAAGTGGGGTTAGTGGGAGAGAGAATTTATAAAATAATGGTGGGGTCATTTCCAAATTAAACTTTGATCCAATGACACATCTTATATGATAATAAAGTTGTTTTATAAAAAGAGTTATTTACGTTCATAGGTAAATTCTAAAATTATAATCGTGAACTTATATGTGGATATTTTTACAATAGATTACAAATTTATTTCTTCCTTTCAGTTACTCAACAATAGTGCATATAGGTGTTAAGTAAAATATGTAACCCAAAAATGCATAAAAATTTTACATGTTTTTTCTTTTTACCACAAAATATATTTAATCAAAGGAATTTATTAATTATGACAGTAAAATCCATGTAACAGTTACAACAAACTAATATAATATAATATTTAGATTACTACATACTAAATAATTAATTTTGATGTTCAATTACATTTACAAAATTTAACAAATGATACTATTTATAAAACCATCAATATATTTTCATTTTATTTTGTTGAACTTTTTGATATACACTCGGGCATCGCCCGGGCCAAAAACTAGTTTACCATTAAACTATCAATGCCTCTTAGTACTTATTCTGCTTAATAGAATGATTTAAACCACGCGTTGTAATTTATAATTTGACTATAACACTTTTTATTACGCAACTTTTATTGACTACTCAATATATTATTATTTTATTATTTATTAATCATTTAATAAGTAAACATAAATTAATTTTTGAATTTCAACTTTAATTCACTATTAAAATATTAAAACCTTTGACTGGCATCAATTATTCTCACCATAATTTTTCTTAGTTTCCTCTACTTTCAATATTGAATTTATAGGAAAAATAACTATAATCAAATTACAAGCAATGTCCCGGAACATTGTTCGGGCAAAAAAACTAGTTATAAAATGCATATCATAATTTAATAAGCGTAATTAAAGGTGGGCAACATATCGTGGCGGGCCACCGTGGGTCGTGCCTGATGGTGGCTCGTGACGGGTCGGGCTGTGCCTGCAACTTGGCGGGTCGTGTCGTGCCGGGCCACCATTTGGCACACCCCAGCCCATGGCACGGCACGGCCCACGTGCCTGGCGTGCCGGGCCGGGCCGGATAGCGAGCTGACCATAATTTGTTTTTAAATCGATATATATTTTTATTAACAACTTTTAAAATGAGTATATATAAATAATTTTATTAATTTATATTTATGTTTTTGTATTGTTATATTATTATTGTTGTTTTTATTATTCTTAATTTTATTATTTTAGTTTTTTTTTAACTTCTTTGTTATAGTCGTTTTACGGCTGTTGAAAGCAGCGAAATATAGCTGTTTGCACGGGCCGGGGCGTGCTGCGTGCCGTGTTGGCGGACCAAATTACCGTGCTGCCCACCGTGCCCATGCCAAATTTTTAAAATTGTGTTCATGGCAGGGCCTACTCCTCGGTCACCGTGCCGGACCGTGCAACCACCGTGCCCTACTCGTGCCGCCCACGGGCCAGAACGGCCTATGCCCACCTCTAAGCGCAATAGGTAGTTTGTAGGGTTGTATTAGGAATCATAGGAATGATATAATGCAATAATTATAGCACTGTGAAAAATTTTGTCCTCAAACTTTGGGATTGGATGAAATATTTCCATTGGATTCGTGTATCTAATTGGCTATACAATACATAATTGGCCCAAACAGTCCACGGTCCACCATCCTTAAAATTTCCAAACTTTTTCCCACGATGTATGATTGTATGATGGCGTGAATTTTCTTTCAGGCAACTTTGGGTTGGGAAACTTGTGAATTGTGGTGGGTTGAATTATTTATCTATGGGTAATTCTTAAATATTCTATGCATAAAGATAAGGTATTGATTATATTTCATACCTCTAATAATATTGGAAATTTAATTTGAAGTCTGTACTAGTATACAATTTATCCCTCTAAAAAAATACAGAATATGACGAATTAAACTTTTCTTCTTCTTTTATTTAAAGATAAGAAAAGGGAAAAACATTAGAAAACTCTCTTCACTTCTCATGAGAGGAATACTAAACTCATTTCTTCAATTTCGTATATTATAATATGGATCACTTTATTTATTCAACTGATTTTCACTTATCTTATTAAGCCTTATTAATTAGTTGTAATTTGAACTTGGTTACCCGACCTTATCAAAATTATTCAATATGAACTTATTAGATTTTGGGCATGTTCACATTTACTGAACTGAGCTTAACTGACTGAACTAATTGGAGCTTAACTGAACTGATGTGAGCTGAACTGAACTGAGCTGAGCTGAGCTGAGCTAAAATGAATATTTTACGAGAGAGGGAAATTAGGAGCTGAACTGAATTGAACTGATTAGAGCTGAACTGAACTGAACTGAAATTAAGTAACTGTGAACAGACCCTTTATATAAGTGAAATTAAGGTAAAGAAAACATGCCCTTAGTAGCTTTTTTAGTTGGGTAACTTTGATAATATGTATAAAGTATTAATTATTGCTAGAATTATTTAATTTCTTACTTTAAATATAAGTTTGAATTTACAATAGTGTCACATTTTGGAAAAAAAAAAAAAAGCCCTTATATTAATCATAAAAGAATACATTGATCGTTAGATTATTTTTTTAATTTTATATATAGCCCTTAATTTTTCGGCCTTTATTTAATCCTTTTTTCTATTGAGCAACTACTAGCTATTATGGTGTATGAGAGTAATGAAACTCATGTGTTTTAAGGAACATAATGGTTATGATTATGTAAAGACTTGTTTTTAGCTCTTATGTTTTATAATACGTAGTAAATTGTATGTCCAAAACCTAAAACGACTCGTTGGCCAATCTAAGTTTTTGTACAATTAAAACGCCAAAAAGAATCACTAATTGAAACTTTTTATGTACAATAACAATGGTAATTTATTATGTATCTTCTTTTACAATGGGTAATTCTTGCATAAGATACCTAGTAAGTTTTAACATACTTTGCTTAAATAACTAATATTCCGTTTGATATTCATATTGTTTGATACAAGACCTATTATGTAAATAATATTCGCCTAATTAATTACCTTTACCACCGAAAACTAATCACCTTATTAGCTCAAAAAGGACACAATTTTGATCCTCCTCATACATCTATAAACTTCCTATCTAGCTATAGTATAGCAACAATGATATTACAAAAAAGGCATAAAAACCAAATACAAAAATGAAATGAGAGACAAAGGAGGAGAGGAAAAGAAAGCAACGAACCAAAAAAAGTAGCCCTCTTATTCAAAAATGGGGTCCATTCAAATATTGTCTGATCCTCCCTCTCTCAAATCTTAAGATGTGACCTCCATCATCTTCTTCCCCCACTTCATTACCCTCATTCACCAAATTTTGTCTCCTCACTTCTTTCCTTTTTTTTTTTCAAAACAAATAGTACTAAAAATAAAATAAAATTTAAAGAATCCCTATATTTTTTTTTCTTTAAAAGGTATTACATAACTTATGTTCATGGACTCCATGGAGACCATTACAAAATTCACTTCTGAACCCTCACCACTAGTGTCAATGATGTGTTCCGACAACCAAGCCAGGGCGGCTGGTGCTCCACTAGCCGCCCCAGTGCCTAGTCGATACGAGTCCCAGAAACGTAGGGACTGGAACACTTTTGGGCAGTACCTTAATAACATGAGACCGCCCGTGGCGGTAACTCAGTGCACGTGCCATCACGTGCTGGATTTTCTTAGGTACCTTGATCAGTTTGGAAAAACTAAGGTTCACTTACATGGGTGTACTTTTTATGGTCAGCCTGACCCTCCTGCTCCTTGTAGCCAGTGGCGGACTTGGGCTTAGACCTGGTGGGTCAAGTGACTCACCAGGCCCAAAAAAAAATTTTAAGTTAATTTTTTAAAAAAAAAAAAAAAAAAAAAAAAAAATCAGTTTTCCCAAATTCACGAATTCAGTATTTCAGTTCATGGCCTTCAATCCTTCATGCCCTAGCCAATTCGCCTCTTCCCTAATTCCCTTCAAGGCTTCAATCCTTCGCCATCATCAATCACCTATTCACCTCCATAATCGCCTCCTCCAGTCCTCCTCTTCGCAGTTCGCAACTCGCAACTTCGCCTCCATAATCGATTAATCGCCTTCGACCCTTCGTCTTCCTCTTCGCATAAATTCAGGTGAGGTTAGTCTTCCTCTTCGTCTTCCTCAGTTAGTCTTCATCTAAATTTGTTTAATTGTTGATATTTGATAACTTGATAACTTGATTGTACTGATTATTGTTAATTGTTAATTTTGTTATATATTGTTGTGATTTTGTGAATTGTTCAATGAAATTCTGAATGGTGAATTTGTGATGGACTTTTCATTATTTCATTCATATGTATTCTCATTTCCTGGAAATTAGCCTTAGAAAAATTATACTAGTAAAAAACAAAGTTGCTGCCTTTTTTAATGTTTAGCTGTGAATGGTGAACCACTGAACCCTTCAACAGTTCAACTAATCAAATTGATTTTGCAGAAAGGCTACAATCATTCCAAAGGTATCTCTAATTTCTGTATTGTTTTAATTTGTAAGCTCTATTCTAATCAAAATATTTGCCTAAAACGATATATTCAATTTCCATTGTTACCTCAATTTTTTTTAAGAAAATGATCCATTGTTACCTTTTTGTTTAATAGTTGAAGCTACTACATACTGTAATTGACAAATGGTTCCTTGATAAGTTTTATTTTTGTTTTATCTTCAATAGTTCCTTTATCTTTATTACTACATACTGTAATTGACACTTTAGTTCCTCTTCGTCTTCCTCAGTTCCTCTTCGCATAAATTAATTAATTAACTTAGTCTTCATCTAAATTTGTTTAATTGTTGATAATTGATATTACTTGTTAGTTATGAATTAGTAATACTAAATTTGATTCTTTGAACCCTAAATCCCTAATTGTTCAATAATCAACTCAATTGTTCAATAATCAACTCAATTTCAATAATCCCTAATTGTTGTGATTTTGTGAATTGTTCAATGAAATTCTGAATGGTGAATTTGTGAAATGTTTGACAATTGACACTTTACATACTTGTTCAAGCTGTGATGCTGTGATGCTGGCCTGCTGCCCTGTGAGCTTGTGATTTCAAGCTGTGAAATGGTGAATTTGTTAATTGTTCAAGCTGTGATACTGCCTGCTGGCCTGCTGCTCGCCTAGTCGGCAGTCGCCTGCTGCCCTGCTCCACTGCTCGAGAGTCGAGAGCGTGCTCTGCGCTCACCGCTCTTCGCTTCGTCGCTTCTTCTAAAGTCTAATCTCCTATTCTCATTTTGCTAGTAAGTTGATTTCTAATTTTTAGTTTAAAATTCTAATCTTCAATTTAATCAAGTCTAATTAGTTAATTCTATTAAACTTTGGTTGATTTGTTAGTTGTTCACTTCAAGTCTTCAATCACTTGTTTGTTTGGTAAACTTTGAACCTTTTGTTAATGAGTAATGACCTTAATGTAATAATGTTGTTGGGTTTTAGATGAAATTTGAACCTTTTTGACCATGTGAATATGTGATTATGTGAATTGTGGTTTGTTTGGTAAAATGATCTTTGTAAATAATTTTTCTGGGGAATTTTGCTTGCTTTAGTTGATTATTTATTCAAATTTCAGAATGAAGAGAAAACGCACTCCAAATGAACTGCAAAACATTACTAGCTTCTTTGCTAAAAAGAATCCTACTTCAACTTCTCTTCCACATCCCACACAAAATGAACAAACTATATCTCCACCTCAACAGAGTGAACAAACTATATGTCCACCTCAAGAAAGTGAACAACATTCATCTCCATCTAATTATTCCACTCAAAATTCCCCTCAAAATGAACAAGGCCAATGTTCTCCTAATGCCCCAATCTTTGGTGAAAGATTAAGTGAACATGAATTTGCTAATATTCCACAAGATCCAGGAAAGAGGAGAAAGATGAGTCAATTTCATAAAGATGATAGAGATTTAGTGAGAAGAATTTACATTCAAAGAAAGCCTTGTCAGCCCAAAGACTTTATATTTCCTCAAACTTCTATTTTTGGCAAAAACCGTCGCTTTTGTGCTAAGTGGTTTGATACTTGGACTTGGCTTGAGTATAGTGTGGAAAAGGATGCTGCCTATTGTTTCCCTTGTTATCTATTCAAGGATGAAAATGCATTTGGAGGTGATGCTTTTGTTAGTGATGGTTTCAAATCATGGAATCGATCGGATTTAATAAGAAAACATGTGGGTAAGCACACGAGTGCACATAATAATGCAGTGTTAGCTATGGATTTGTTCAAGAAGCAAAAGTCAAGCATCACACAAGCCTTGACAAAACAAACCGCTGAGAGTACAAATGCATATAGGATGCGACTTGAAGCTTCAATTGAATCAATCCAATGGCTTTTACTCCAAGGGTTGCCTTTTCGTGGTCATGATGAAAAAGAAAGTTCCTTAAGAAGAGGTAACTTTCTTTCACTTTTATCCCTTATTTCCAAAGGTAACCCTGAATATTCTAAAGTTGTTTTCAAAAATGCTCCTAGTAATTGTCAACTTACTTCTCCAAAAGTCCAAAAAGATATCATAAATGCATGTGCAAAAGAGACAACTAAAGCAATGCTTGAAGATATTGATGGTGGTTTGTTTTCTATCCTTGCTGATGAGTCCGCTGATGTTTCTGACAAGGAACAATTGGCTCTTTGTTTGAGATATGTTAATAGAAAGGGAGAAGTGTGTGAGCGTTTACTTGGTATTGTGCATGTTGTAAACACTGCTTCTTTGACTCTCAAAACTGCTATTGAATCCTTATTAATGGAGCATTCTTTGTCTTTCTCTCAAGTACGGGGTCAGGGTTATGATGGGGCAAGTAATATGCAAGGTTCTATTAATGGCCTTAGGACTCTTATAGAGAATGAGTGTAAAGAAGCTTATTTTGTCCACTGCTTTGCTCACCAACTTCAATTGACTCAAGTTGCACTTGCTAAAAAGAATTCAGATTGTGCTTGGTTATTTGTTGATGTACTTGCACCTCTGTTGAACTTTGTGGGGGGTTCACCAAAAAGGAAAGAGTTTCTTCGTGAAAATCAAGCTCAAAGAGTGGTGGATGCTTTGTCTCTAGGTGAACTTGAAACGGGTTCAGGTTTAAATCAAGAACGTGGATTAGGTAGACCTTGTGATACTCGTTGGGGATCTCACTTCAAGACAATCTTGAATGTACTTGACTTATTCCCTGTAATCCTTGGTTCTCTTGAGGATATTGCAAAAGTATCTGATACAATAGATTCTAATAGAGCTCAAACACTTACAAATCTTCTGATGTCCTTTGATTTTGTGTTTGTGGCACACTTGATGGTTAGTATATTTGCGATAACAAATGCTTTGAATGTGGCCTTACAAAAGCACGATCAAGACATTGTGAATGCAATGGCCATGGTTAATGTAACCAAGACTAATTTGCAAAAAATGAGAGATGAAGGATGGGATTCTCATATGGAACAGGTCATTTCTTTTATTGGTGACTATGACATTGCAGTTCCAGATATGGAGGCTAAATATGTTGTTCCCGGGAGGAGGTTGTTTCGAGGTAAATGCCCACAAGTGTCTAATTTACATCATTTTCGAGTTGAAGTTTTTTTTGGTGTCATTGATCTTCAATTGCAAGAACTTGAAAATCGATTTCCCGAAATAACTAAAGAACTACTTGTGTGTATGTCTTGTTTGAGTCCTGTGGATCGTTTTTCTAAGTTTGACAAGGAAAAATTGATTAAGCTTGCAAAATTCTATCCTAATGAATTTCCAAGTTCAGAATTGATAGTCTTTGGTCATACACTTGAGAGTTACATTTGTTCTGTTAGAGGAGATAACAGGTTTTGGAATTTGAAGGGTCTTAGTGAGCTTTCAATCAAATTGGTTGAAACGGGATTGTCTGAAACTCATGATAGGGTCTATTTACTTTTGAAGTTGGTGTTGCTTCTTCCTGTCGTAACGGCAAGTGTGGAAAGGGTATTTTCTGGCATGAAGCAAGTGAAAGACAAACTACGAAATAGCATGGGAGATCAAATGTTGAATGATTGTTTAATTACTTATTTGGAGAATGATTTGTTTTTGAATGTTAGCATGGAAGATATCATGAATCGATATCAAAACATGAAAACTCGTCGAGAACTATTGTAATTTGTAATAAGTTTGCATTACTATTTAGTTGTCGTTTGTAGTATTATATGAACATTTGGTTGTATTTTGTACTGTTTTGAATATTTGGATGTATTTTTTAGTACTATTATTTGGTTGTTCGGTAAATTTTTTTTTTTAGATACTTGATTATCGATTGTGACTCACCAGTCGGAAATTCCTGGGTCCGCCACTGCTTGTAGCTGCCCGCTCCGGCAGGCTTGGGGTAGCCTCGATGCCTTGATCGGACGGCTACGAGCTGCCTACGAGGAGCACGGTGGGTCACCGGAGTCGAATCCGTTCGGAAATGGGACTATTCGGGTTTACCTAAGGGAGGTCAAGGATTGTCAAGCTAAAGCTAGAGGAATTCCTTACAAGAAGAAAAAGAAGAAGAGAAAGGTTTTAAAAACAAGTGATGGATCTTCTTCAAATCGTCGGTTTTAAGGTATAAACATCTTTATCTTATCTATAAATTATAACTTTATATATATCTTAAATTGACATAATACATATTTAACCTTTTTTTAATTGTTCTTTTATTTATTTCTTAGCTGTTGAATTAATTGAATTTAATTATTTAATCTATTAATAATCCCTTTTCCAAACAAGATTAATGATATGATCAAGATTTACTATTCATTAAAATTGAACTTATTACTCAATAAAAAAAATGAAAAAGAAATAAAAGTCATATGGATTAATTGAACAGAGTAAAACCCTAATTTAATTAAATTTCTTGAACATTAGGCTTACGTATAGTTATTATTATACATAATTATGTAACGAATTATATATTTTATAGGTGTATAAATCCAAATAATTAAGTACTGCTTGTTCACTGTTAAGAGAGGAATTTCTAGTTAGATAAGCAATTCTTTCTCTTATCATGCGAAAAATACTGTTATTAAGATCTTATGTTATGTTATGCATGTGATTACATAGTATTGTTATATACGTATGTACTTGTGTAGTACAAATTTAGGTGATCTTTTCATTTAGATGATCTTTACTAAATTAGGAAACTTGTTTTGCACAATTTTGTTGCTTATTTCAATCCATGTCATTTTTTTTTGATGCAATCGATGTCATTTTTTTTTCTTGTCTTATCGTTCAACATATATATGAGTATATATAATGTTTAGTGTCGAAATTTTGCAATTATACGTATGGTTGATCCCCGAAATTAACTATAAGTGTATTCATCTAGCATCACATTTTTTGTAAATGAGAGAGTAATATTTACTAATATATATCTTCAAATTGAAAGTGAAAGTCTAATACTGTAGGAAATGGGTTCTACTACTCTAGTGTTGTTAATTAATCTTGTTAATTGAGACAAAAAGTTTAAAAGATTCCCCTTTATATTTTCTGTGTTTTATCATAGCAACGGTGGTCAGGTATATTTGTGTGAGTTTGTCGCAAGTTGCTTACCTTAATTTGAGACATATTAAGACACATCGTACAAAACATAAAATGGTAAAGAAGCCTAAATTTGATTCAGTTGTCTAATAAAATTAAAAGGAAAAAATTTCATTCAAGTAATTAAAATTAATGTAACAAAATCACGGATATTATATACAAAATCTTTGGGTTGTCCTCTTTCATGGCCCACCCTAATCTCACACTTTACTTGACTTCTCCCTACCGGCCTACTCGATTTTAATTAAACCATTTATTGCTGGTAAGGATCGAACCCATAGCAATTGCAAAAATGATGAGTAGTCTGGCTATCATCAGACTAATCCTGTATGATTATATGCTACGATGAAGTTTCTTACAATGAAAAATGAATGAAGAGGGGGCAAGCCCAACACTTTTTTAGTATATACATACATATTTATGTAAATTCATGAACTTATAGCAACAATATGGTATTGTCATAACTTGTTAAGTTACATCCACATATATAAGATATTATTCTCTACTTATTACACTCCTATTCATAAGCTGATTTATATTTCATAATACATAACCAAAACATTTTGTAATGCATGCACACAATATCCATGATACAATAAACCCCTGCAGTACAATATTAGTCAATCCCTACCAATAGAGTTAATGCTTTATATCATATTTAAGCATGTTAAGTCTAAAAAGAATTCCATTAAAAATAGATCTAGTTGAATAGGTGGTGCATAAACTATTAGAATAAATACAACAACATTTTCATAAAGTAGCAAATCTTACAAAATTTCCATTCTCTTTGCATCCCATTATAGTTCTAAATGACTATTCCTCAGCTCTTTGCATCCCATTATACTTCAATGCATCATTAGTTCATTTCATTACCAATTATCTTACTAAATATTTCAAAATTAATAATTTTTCCTTTTATTTGGACCTTCATCCTTCTTGATGATGAATCTTGCTTAATTTTATCTGTTATAGAAGAACCATAATAAAACTCATTAATGATAAGCACTATGATGCATTGGGTGTCATGAAATGTAAAATAATTCATATAACAATATATTATAACTCCTTAATTAGTTTTTTTTTAGTTGCATCGCTTTTGATATTACGGAGTCCTAGGCAATTTTTGGAGTAGAGATAAATGTAGCAAAACAAAAAAATAAAGAGGGTCCATATAATATAATATGATATAGATATAGAGAATTTATTAGTATATATATATATATATATATATATATATATATATATATATATATATATATTTGACATAGTAATGCATATAAATTGAAACTTCCATTTATCTATAGAAAATGATGCATTTAAATAAATTGGAGGAAGTAGTTTTTAATTTAAATGGGCCGGGAATTACCCATGCACCTTTGTGATTACCCCATTGATGGTAAGTTTACTCATATATACTTGATTTTTGTAATACAAATTATGTAGGCACATTGTTCCTGTTTTGAGTGTAAAGGGAAGTGTATCCATAAATTATTTTTCCCAATTTTTGATTAACTTGATTTATTAATTTATTTATTTTTTTTGAGGAAAATTAACTTGATTTAATTAATTAGCTTGAATAAACAGCTTCACCTTTAATCATAACAAAACATGAGTTTATAAATTTCATCAGTATAATGGAAAAAAAAAAAAAAAAAAAAAAAAGTTCCTCTTATTTTACTTATTTGTCTTGACACTCAAGGTAGGGTTGCATGAATTGGCTCCTTGGGTTGTAAAAGTATCTACTTAGTATGAGATTATCAGATGACTTAGCTTGCATTGGTGAGTTGTATGATCTGAGTACTCTGGCTAAGCTGCTATGTAAGAAACAACAACTAAAGGCCAAAAAATAAATTAAAAAAAAAACACATAATGTTATTAACAAATATTAATGGTTTGGTTTAATAAAATTATTTAGGCCAGAAATTTGTCACCAATATTGGTTCATTTTAATTATTGATTATGGAAAATTTGTCATCAATGATGATTCATTTGTTAAGTTTCCTTCTATTCTTTTGCTACGGCCTGAATGTCAAAGATTTAGAAGCAAGGGGAAGAGGGTGGCCTATATATAGCTAAGGATACTGATATTCTGATAAATTGATAATATGAATGAATTGACATGATATTAACCTGTTTGACTTAGGCTTGACATAAAGATTTATATTCGAGCTCCAGTTGAGTTTAACTGAGCTTTTAATTTTCTCAATTAGGCCGGAAATTTTTTAATATGTTACCATAAATTAGAGAATGATGAAGATGATTAAAAACTGATGGAGGTATATTAGACAAAATTTTATTAGCAAGCTGAAATAATGCTGAAACAAATAAAATTAAGAAAGCTAATAAAGGGATAAACACAAAGCACAAAGCTAATCTCATGTTTTACTCAGTTTTGAATTAATTCCACTTTTGAAGAACAATCCGGATTTTTCACTAGTTCTGCTTGTGTTTTGTTTTTGTTTAATCTATTATATCTTAAGAAATAATGGAGTACAAAACTAAGGCCCTGTTCTCTTCACCTTATTAAGTAAAAATAATTTCAGTTCAGTAAAAATAAGTTCAATTCAGTAAAAATAAGTTCAGTTCAGTAAAATTAATTTCAGTTCAGTAAAAATAAGTTCAGTTCAGTAAAATTCAGTTTTCTTACAGAAGAATTATAATAGAAAACCAGTAAAAATAATTTAAGTTTAGCAAAAATAATTTCATTTCAGTAAAATTAATTTAAGTTCAGTAAAATAATTTAAGTTAGGCAAATATAATTTTGTTTTAATAAAAATAATTTCAGTTTAGCAAAAATAAGGTGAAGAGAACGGAGCCTAACTCTAAATTATTTCAAGATGGATCATCAAAAATTTGGATTAATTTTTTTTTTTAATTTTATAAACCATGTAATTAATTTAGTAAGTAGGTTGAAACGGAATTGTAATGTTCTATACATGACAATTCAAAATTTTATCATATAAAAATCTATAATATACACATGCACGTACAAACATGAAAACATGCACGTAAATGCTAAATGCAGTGTGCACACGTTAAATAATACCTAGATTGGGTCTATATAACAATTATGGAATTACATAACATGAAAACCTACATTATAAGTGGTTATGTTTACATTGCCTTAATTTGAAGGGTTAAGGGAGGAACTTAATAGCCCAAATGTATGGTACCATGTCCTCTAATATAAGGGTGGACATGGACCAAACTATGCAGTTTGTGAACTGTTTACAATCAAAGCTCAGATCGATTTTATTTTTTTTACTCTAATTGACCAGATTAGTAAATAAAAAAAGATCCCTAGCGACAATTAAATAAAAAAAATAATCTGGTGACAATTTAGATAAAAAAAATTAACCATAGGCGACAATTTGGTAAAAATAATAAATTCCGGCGACATTTAGACCATGTTCATTTCACCTTAAAAAATAATATTAAGTAAAATTAATTTCAGTTCAGTAAAAATAAGTTCAATTCATTAAAATTAATTTCAGTTCAGTAAAAATAATTTCAGTTCAGTTCAGTAAAATTCAGTTATCTTGAAGAAGAATTATAATAGAAAATCAGTAAAAATAATTTCAGTACATCAAATATAGTTTCAGTTTAGTAAAATTAATTTAAGTTCAGTAAAAGTAATTTAAGTTCAGCAATTATAATTTTTTTTCAGTAAAATAATTTTAGTTCAGCAAAAATAAGGTAAAGTAAACAGGGCCTTAGACAAAAAAAAAAAAAAAAAAAAAAAAAAAAAAAAAAAAAAAAAAAAAACCCAATTTTTTTGTACGACAAACTCTTCAAAAATCCTATTTTAATTTGTTTTTTGTGTTTTTAAATTTATTTGTCCCATTTAAAATATTGAATTAATATGTCATCTCCTTTTTATTTTGCTAAATCTGGATACAAATTTATTTTCAACCCCTTTTTATAAAAATTTCGTCAATAAGGGGTATGAAACTTAAGTGAAATTGATAATTAACATTTTTTTTCTTGAAATTGCTATTTCTATATATATATATATATAAAAAGTTG